TGATTTGACAGTACACTCACACAAAAACAATAAAATAAAATAAAAAAAAATAAATATCCCATGAAGTCCTTTTAAACTCCTAAAATAGTTTCACTTAACTGTTAAAGAATTTCTGCCTTAATCTTTGTACTCTCTTTAGTTTCTTCTTCATGGAATCAGCTAGTGCTCAGGACTCTCACTTGCAGACTTTCACTCCTGCTTCTGCACCCCACTGGGAGCAAGGGAACCCTGCATTGTTTAAATATAGGAAGGGTGTGCACCAGGGTTGTATCCTTTTCTATACCTATTTAATCTTTATGCTGAACAAATAATTCATGAAGCTGGACTCTATGAAGAAAATGTGACATGAGGATTGGAGGAAGACTCAACAACAACCTGCATTATGTAGATGACACAACTTACTGAAAGTGAAGAAGATACTAAATGCTTGCTTCAGAAGATCAAGGACTGTAGCCTTGGATTACATCTTAACATCAGGAAAACAAATGTCCTCACTACACAACCAATAGCCAATATTATGATAGAAGGAGAAAGGATTGAAGCTGTCAGTGATTTCCTCTTGCTTAGATAACAATGAAAAACTTGGTACCAGCAGTCAGGAAATCAAGAGACATTGCATTGGACAAATCTGCTGTCAGGGACCTCTCCAAAATGCTGAATAAATGATGTCAGCTTGAGGACTAAGATGTACCTGATTCAGGCCATGGTCTTCTCAATCTCCTGCTATGCATCAGAAAGCTAAATGGTGAATAAAGATGACAAAAGAAGAACTGATGCCTTTGAGTTGTGGTGCTGGAGAAGAGTACCGAATATCCCATGGATTGCCAAAAGAAAAAACAGATATATTTTGGGAAAAGTGCAGCCAGAGTGCTCTTTGGCATCAAAGATAATGAGTCTTTGTCTTTCATACTTTGGATATGTAGGTAAGAGAAGCTATTTATTGGAAAGGGACCTCATTCTTGGAAATTTGGAAGGTCAGTGAGGAGGAGAAGACCCCCAACAGAATGGATTGACATGGTGACTTCAGCAATGAATTCTAGTGTATCAGACATGAGGAGGATGATTAAGATAGAGTGAGTCAAACTTGACTCAATTCCATCTAACAACAACAACAACAACAACAACATATGGAATCAAATTGACAGCAATTTGTTTAGTTAAGTACTGTAGGCAATATTGAATTTATGTTAACATTGTTGTTAGGTGTCATTGAGTTGAGCATAATTCACAGCAACCCTATGAATAGATTCGAACCCTGCCTTATCCTGTGCCATCCTCAACATCTCTGACACACTTGAGCCCATTGCTATAGTTACTGTGTCAATCCATCTTGTTGAGGGTCTTCTTCTCTTTTCCTGACCCTGCACCTTTCCAAGTATTTTGTCCCTTTCCAAGGAATAGTGTCTCCTAGCAACGTGCTCAAATTATGTGAGATGAAGCTTTGTTATCTTTGCCTCCAAGGAGCAATCCAATATATAATCTGTTCCTTTGACAGTTCATGGCATCTTCAGTACTTTTCTCCAGCACCAGCGCTCAAAGACAGCAGTTCTTTTGTCATCCTTATTCATTATCCAGCTTTCAGATGCATAGCAAATGATTGAAAAGACCATGGCCTGAGTTAAGGATATCTTAGTTCTCAAGCTGACTTCATTGCTTCTCAGTAATTTATAGGAGCAATAATTTAGAAAACTATACCAGACCATCATCTTCACAAATACTTGCTACACATCAGAGAGCTGCACAATGATTACAGATGACAGAAGAAGAATCAATGCCTTTGTGTTGTGGTTCTGGAGTATTGAATATACCATGGATGCCAAGAGAACAAACAGGTTTGTCCAGGAGAGGGTGAAATCAGACTACTCCTTAGAGGCAAGGTTTTTGAAGCTCCATCTGACAAACTTTGGGTATGTTTCCAGGAGGGATCAGTTGGAGAAGAACATCATGCTTGGAATGGTGGAGATACAATACAGGAGAGGAAGACTTCAAATAAGATGGATTGACACAGTAACTGCGGTAATGGTGGTAGGTGTGTCAGAGACAGTGAGAGTGGTTCAGGACAGTGCAAAGTTCAGAGCTGTTGTGTGTAAGTTCACTGTGAGTCACAGAAGATACGAGTCAATAGCAATACCTGGACCAAGAGGCTGTTGTGAGAACAGAAAAGTGTGTGCCATGGTTGTATCCTTTTTCTATAACTATTCAGCCTGTATGTTGAAGAAATTATTTGAGAAGCTGAACTCTATGAAGAAGAATGTGATAATCAGGATTTGAAAAATTCTCATCAATAACTTACATTTTGCAGCTGACACAACTTTGCTAAAAATGAGGAGGCTGTGAAGTGCTTGTTGCAGAAGATCAGATAATACATCCTTCAATATGGATTGCATCTTAGCAAAAAGAAAACAAAAGTTCTCACCACTGGACCAATAGGCAGCATCATGATAAATGGAGAACAGATTGAAACCATCGAAGATTTCATCTTACTTGGATCCACGGTCAACATTCTTGGTACCAATCTGTCAGGAAATCAGGAGACATGTTCACTGGGAAAGTCTACAGTCAGGGACCTCTCCAAATTATTGAGGGTCAGTGATGTCTCTTGTAGCCTAGAGGCATGGAATTGTACTGCCAATCCAAAGGCACCTGGTTTGAATGCAAAGGCAGGTGCTCTGTGGGGGAAAGATTGGCAGTCTCCTCCCAAACAATTACTGCCTTTAAAAACCTACTGGAGGGTCAGCTATGGGTTAGTTCCAACTCAACAATAGGTAACAACAACAGCCTATATAATCTATGATGACTGCTTCAGGTTCTAGAATCAAATCCACAGTCCAGCCAGTAGGAAGACTGGGAAAACTACAAGGTTAGGGTATAATAATTTTTTTTAAACGAGTTACTCAGATTTACTGAGTTTCTCCCTCTCTCTCTCCCTACCACCCCCCAACACCAGCTCAAATACAGGTAACTAATTAGATATTGGGGACACAGAAGGTAACTAGAATAATTCAATGATTTCCTTCTTAAATGGTGGAATGAACCAGAGAGACTGGTTCAGGACAGGGCAGGCTTCAGAGCTGCTATACATAGGATCACTATGGGTCACAGGTGACTCAGCAGCACATAACAACAACAACAACAACAACAACAACATACTATTAACTGAATTAAGCAGTGAAAGAGAATGTTTATTTCATCTTGGATACTTATGCTGAAAGAAGAGGAACTCAGACATTCAGGTGTTAGAAATACAGAAGAAAGGGATAATTAATCCAGAATGGTTTAAGGGTAGATGCGAGAAAGCATTTTAATAGATGTAAGTAGAGAAAACCTTAGGCAGAGGGAAGAACATTTTTGTCTTCTATAGATAAGTAGGAAATGAAGAGACCTGGTGGCACAATCTGTATGGAGTTGTGTCGCTAACCCATAGGTGGTGCGTTTCTGGTGGCTCATATTCAGTGACTGCGTCGGAGAAAAGATGGGTAATCTCCTTTCACACAACTTAGAGCCTCTGGGAATCCATTGGAGGGTCAGCTGTGTCTCAGTTCCAATTCAATAGCAATACCTTTTTTAAGAGAAACGAGAGTGTGTGTGGATACAGAAATTTCCTTCCATAAACATTTGTTGAACATAAGCATTTGGCATTATTTAGGTGCTGCACTTCAGGTTAATAAGACTTAATTTCCATTTTCTTCAGAATATAGACAATGAAACCAGTATGATAAAGTGTATGTAAGTGTAATTCAGAGTTATGCTCAAGGATTATGGGAAGAGGGGAGGCTTAGCGTTTGAAAGTACATAAAGTGAAAATGGGTTTCTATCTGGAATAGGAGGTGGGGCCATCTAAGAGAAGGCTTGAGGATGCAGACTCTGCTGGGACCAAGACTTGGTAAAAGGGTAGACCGGGGTTGTAATGATGGTTGCAATAGTCTTAAGCAGTTGTTGACTTTGTTTAAGCATCAAATGAAACTTTACTTGGGAATACTTGAAAAACTGATTTTTTTTGTGACTAAGGAAGCTTCTTTTTATCCTCTCCCACTTTGATGATTGCTCCTGAAGCTTATTAAGGTAAAGAAAAGAAAGCCACTACTTCATAAGGTGCTTTGGTACTCTGGCATAATTTCAAAGAAGTCTCCTTTCCCACTTAGTTAACTGCATTTCCCCTAGGAAAAAAAATCTTCTCTGTCAATGTAACATCCTTTAACAGGACTCCTGCTGATCGGTTCTTGTATCTTGCTGTGGCAGCTGTGAACATATATACTATTGATTGTGAATGTGTGATATAAATCCGACTGGAGCATGCCCACTAATTGGTTTGAGAGTTAGATATAGACAATGCTGTCTTATAGGAGCTTGTGTAGATAGGCCTAGTCATAGGGTTAATTCTGCTTGACAGCACAGCAGCAGCATCTTGAGAGCAATTACCCAACAGAAGTTTTCCCACAGCCAAATCAAGAGCTTCAAAGGCTTCTGAATTTACAACCAGTATTAACCTATATCTGAAACATAGTGTTCCCACAAGGGCTCAGATTTTTCTCCCCCTCCTTATTAAACGTATGGGGTTACTAGGTTCATTTATACTCTGTGCTTAGAGATTAGTGAAAAATTACTTGGTGTTGATAAATTGAAAATCTTTAATAATACTTAAAAAGGATAATTATAAATTTGTTTTTATTGCCTTATTATTATATTACTGAAACAAGTTAGTTCATCTGAAGATAGCAGATGCCTTTTAAACATGCACTTTCATAAACAAGCTAAAAAGTTTTACATCTTCTATATTATACTTGCTAAGGAAGATGTGTATATTTAGAGCATGCAGGGGATCGCATGCATCTAAAATACTTAACAGAAACTGTATTTACATCTTCAAAAGCCTGTTTTACTTGTTGATCAATTTACTGAAACCTGTAACTATTGCAGCTTTTTTTTTTAAATCCATAAAATAACTGTTGTTCTTTTAAAAACCGTTTTTGTCTTGTTAAAAAATGTCTTTGCTTTTGCAGGTCAGAAACCAAATTTGACTCCGGTTCAGGTATGTTTACATTAATAATGTTATTCTGAGTATATTTTATTTACATTATTCTCTGAGGAGTAATTAATCAGATCAAGAACCATTTTGATTTTAAACAGACAGGGCAATCTCTTTTCAAAACATCAGCTCTACCTCAAAGCAAGGTTATTGGCTGCTTCAAATCTTACCTAGAGATGTTCACTTTGGGAGTCTTGATACTTCTGCAAGAGGCATTAAAGGCTTTATGCACAGTTTCATTCTAAAAGCAGAGGTAGGGGTTGTGCATACTCATTTCTCAGAATGGGATATTATTAGTGAACTAGACAGGCTGAATAATTTGAATATTCTATATGAATGATTTTTTTTCATCAAATATGAGTGATAGATGCACTTAATCTAAACAAACTATTAACTTTACCTAGTAGAAATACATGTTTTCCTATGATGTTAATTGCCTTCGAGTCAAGCACGATTCATAGCGACCCTATGAAAAAAAGGCCTGAAGTCCCCCTACAACTACTGACATTTATCAAAGTTCGTAGAGTTTAGTTAAAACTTTTTGTTGTTGTTGTAAAGGAAAGGAAGATGAAGGTCACCTTCAGCCTTTATCTTGTGTTTATCAAGGCAAAATTGACTTTCTCATAGTCAGTGGTATGTCAGCTTTATTATATCTGTTCATCTCCCTCAGCTTGAATGTAGCCATATAATCCTTAGATTTGACTGTCTTTATGTAACTTTCAAGATTTATATACATCAGAATTTTTGATGGTGTTTTCAATTAAAGTTTTTTAAAATGTCCCATGTTAGATAGAAAGAAATTGTTTGTTGGTGAACTATTAAGAAATAAGTAAAATAGATAAAGAAACATTAACTATTTAAAATGCAAGGTAAAATAACTTCCAGGGGAAAAGTTAGTTCAATTTAAAAATTTTAGTTCTATCACATGTTTAAATTTTAAAAAGATGATGTTGCTTGTATCACAGAGAGTCAAGTGATATATAACAAAAGCTAACATACTTTTTTCATAAGCTTTACCTTTTATTGTACAGCTTTATGAGCATATACAAATTGGTGAAACTCTTGAAATGTGAAATATATATACATATATATATTTAAAATAACAATTTAATTTCAATTTAAGAATCGTGATTTCAGAAATATTTCTGTTTTGTATATTCTTGAACTTCATACTCCCATATGCCAGTGATAGTAAGAGACAAACATTTCTGATTAACACTGTTGACATTGTGAATACTAAAGGTATGGTAGCCTGACATCAACTATTTGATGCTTCTGTTAATTCACAAAAGGTAACTGATAATGTTGTTGTTGTTGTTGTTATAGGGTGGGAAATCTTCACTATTTTTAGTTAAAATTTTTAAATATCATTGAGTACTATATATGTCTTAAGACTGATAAAAAGTGAATTTTTAGGTAAAAATTATGTCTTTTTATTTTTGTATGTCTTTTTGTCATTAAATATATCCATTATTTATTCAGAATATCCTATGTTATGATCTGGTGTGTACTTAAATTGCTAAATATCAAGTAAAAAACTGGTCTTTGGGCACAGGAGCTGAAATATAGCTTTTTTTTTAAAGTCTATTGGATTAATTTTGAAAGTAGAACTTGGAAATAGTCTATAGAACTGAAATATTAGGCAGCTATTGTCAAAGTCAGATAATATATGTTAAATTTTCAAGTCCAAATTAAAGTATGCTGCTAAATTCCTGTACTGAAAGTTAATATTTATCATGAAAATAGTTATAACATCTGTACAGGCACACATCTTTCATTCTTGTGACCAAAGATGTCCGTGACTATTATTTTTTTCTTGTTCTGAATTTTAAAAATGCCTATCATGGACAGCATCTGCTTTCTTTGAAAACTACAAAGTTCTGTACTTAGAAAAGTCTTATGGAGAATACTGATTAAAAGTTTATTTGTTCTTTTAATTTTTAATTTAAATACCTTCTGGAAAGAAATCAGATGGTTTAAAATTAAGAAACAAGTGATTATTACTGTTATTTTGTATACGTTCTTTTCATGACAAAGGAAGCTGGAAATTTGTTTTTTTAATATTCTGTATCATGCATTGATACAGATAGCATGTTGGAACAATTTAGTGTATGACTAATAGATTCAGACTCACTACTACTCATTAAATACAGAGACTAAGCTAGCTTTTTTCAACACATGAAACTGTGATAGGGTTCCTAACAGGGTTCTTGATTTTTAAATGAAGCAAGATGCCAATATTACTGAGAAAAAGGAAACTGTAAAAAAAAAATAAAATTAAAATTGTGGTTGGTGATAAATGATAAAGGAAAAAATTTCAAAGTCAGATGTTTGTGTGTATGTGCATGTCCATGTATTTGAATTTTCGAGAAAATTTCAAGAAAGTTTGTGCAGCATTTAGAGCTTTGACTTTTACATTTTTTGTGAGTTTGGAGTGAGACAGAGAAGAAGTTTGCATTTTCAGCACATGTTTAAAAATGTTCTCTTACTAAATTTATATAAAAATGATCAATCTACAAAGTAATTGAATTTTTTCTTATCACAATTATATTTGTTTTCTTTATAAAAGTAAATGTACAAGTAATCTTTTTAAGAAGCATTTTGAAAATTTAATAACAAAAATGTCAAACATATGTAATACTATGTATATAGATAGAGGCTATAATGAGCACCCATCTTGTAGATTCCATTCTTGTTAATATTTGTAAATTTTTTGTTTCATTTTTTGGGGGGATGTGTGTGTGTAAAACAGAGGGAGAGAGGAATGGAGGGGGAGAGGGAGAAAAAGAAGTTTTTGATAGTAAAATGCATGTACCTAATTTAAAATCTGAAAATTATAGATTGAATTTCTTGAAAGGGGTCAGTTAAATTTTCTACTCTTTCATCTATTTAGGAATTTGGGTCATAGATACATTTTTATGGAATTATGACATTATTTTAACTATATCGGTCAAGAAGACTTGAAAGTTTGATTTGTAATTTGTGTGGCAAAAAAAAATAAAAATAGAAGCACACAGAAAAACTTTCATCCAGAAGGCAAAGGCATTAAACTAATTCTATTCATAGAATCTCAGGAACGTTTTATCCTCAGGATTCATTTGGTTAAAATTATAACATACATCTAGCTGTTTTCTCTATTGAGTTATAGATTGATTAAAAACTCTTTCCATTGTTTATAACTCAATCACTTAACACTTTTGGCTTAGCCAGTTGAGAATAGAAACTAGTTTTTTTCTAAAGGAGTTTTAGAATTCTGTTTTGTTTCCAAGTTGATGAACTAATAATGTTGCTTGCTTAGAATTGTGTAAAATTGGTAATTTTGCCAATAGAGTCAAACAGACTTCCTTTATGTTCAGAAGTAGCAAGAAACCATGCTCTTCTCCTTGCCTTCCAAGAAAGGAAGTTAGTTGATGCTGGAGGAAGCAGAGCATTGAGTTTAATGTAGTGATTAAACATGAAAGCCATATATCAAATCTCAGGAGAAACATGCTTTTGAAAGAGGCAGAGAACTGGGGAGCATATTGCATGATAGGCTATGTAAACAGAGCCCTGGAGGTCAGTGTGTGGATGCAAACCAATTAAATAAAGAACTTACTGGCTTTGCTTTTTATCATCTGGAAGGGGAGGATAACAAGTTAACATGCACAAGGTTGAAGTGTAAACTTTGCTTGGATAAACTAGGCACCTTTGGAAACTTCATTAACTCCTTCAATCCACTCCTGAAATTTTTTAAACTCACTTAGACATAAGAGAAACAAATGCTAAATACATGCTCTCTTGGCCATCCTGTACATACCTGTCAACAAAGGGACTACTGCCAAATAGAAAGAAAGGGAAAGCAGAAGAAGAGCTCTTGAAAAACCTGCAGTAGTCAGACTCAAACAACGTACAGTCTCTTTCAAAATCAAATTGTTTTGGGGAAGAACAGAGCTCTTCCAGAATAACTGAAAAAAGCTGTTCTCTTCCTTTCCTGAATTTCTAGGTATAAGACAAAGATATATTTGGGATTGAATAGTCAAAAGCATAAAACCATCATAATGTTATTTTTGTTCAATTAAAATAGCTTTCGACCAAGAAGAACCTATATCCTGTAATGTAATATCTATACATTATGGACTGCCTGTAGTCTTAGTTCTGTGATTCCCAGAACCTTCCCAGGCAATGTTTGGGTGAGAAAATTAAATACCAAGTTAAATGGTGTAGTTTCATGGTCCATAAACATTCAAAACAAAGATTTTACTCCCCCTCCCCCCCATGCCTCTTTTCCTAGAGACTCACATGTTGGGTGAGAAAGTAAATAAGGTAATGTTTAGTGCTTGTTGATTCTGGGCTGCTATGAATAGCTGTACTAAGGAAATGGGCTCATAGAGCACAGCAACTCAAAGGTATAAGATTTCATGGAAGCAAATTATGGAGGATTAGGAAACTTAATGAGCATAGTTTAGTGTGGAGAACAGAGGAAGAAATTTACTATTAAATAAACCTAAGAGTACAGGAGGTTAAACGATCCTAAAAGACATGATAATAAAAGAGACAACAGAATATGATTATTCTGAAAAGGGAAAAAACCCACAAAGCCTACAAGAAATAAAAGACAGCTAGTGTCACTTTTAAGAGCTGTAGTTAAAAAGATTCTATTCCAGAGTAAGGAAATCAAAGAATATAATCCATTAAAGCTTGAGGCAGAAACAAAAGGGCAGTGAAAAATAGAATGGACAGTAATGGTAAGTCATTAAGCTGAAGGGAAATGGGAACTTGAATACAGCAGAAATAAAGTTTTGAAAGCCTTGCTAGTAAATGAGACAATCTGCCTCAGAAAATGTTAATAAAATATTTTCCAATCTTACATATGTGAGAAAATTTTACATATTGGCAAATCTATTGATCTACTACAATTCAGTTTCATAATTTTAAATTTCTTTTATAAAAAAGTCTCAGCAGTGAAGAAAAAGGAAACAAAATGAAGTTCTCTGCAAGAATATTAAAATCTGTCTTTGTGCATA